AATTTGCGTATCTATTATTTTGTAAAAATTATTCAAATTTCACATAATTTTGCAAACCACAATAATCGATTAGTTGCCAACTAAATGATTAATCAATTTTTGATTCATATGAATCGATTTTCATGTTACATTGATCTTGCTTTCTGATTTGCTAGAATCATATCACATTATTAATATTCAGGGAATATGTTATGTAAATTCATATGTTATTATTATAGTCTTTATTATAATTTATCACGCTATGTGACATATGCCCTGAATGTTAAAGATTGTCGATTTCGTCCAATCAAAAATACGATTTACCGATGACCAACAGAAACTTGGGCTACTTACGCACAGGTGGTGATAAATATTGAAATAGTAAAACTTCTTTTTTTTATGCTTTATAACAATTGGTAAAACGAAAATAAAATTTTCTTTATAATGGTCAATTTTTTATATTATATGGTTATGTTTTTATCAATATATTTTCTTAATATATTCTAAAGGCATTCTATTGTAAAAAAACATATTTATAAACAAACAATCAAACAATTGTTATATATAGCAATTTAAATATATTTCATAGATAAAGAAATATTTTATTACATTAAAAAAAAATAATGTAAATAGGTTTATTACAAATTATTACTTTCCCCTCATCTGATCTGCAACTAATTCTCTGAAATCTGATATAATTTTGTTTTCTTTTTTTGCTTTCTCTTCTTGACTGCATTATGTAAAATTAATTTTACATTAGTCATTACTATAAAATAACAATGATATAAAAATATGTAGACAGCATACTTGTATAGCATCAAAGCACGTTTTTCTTCCGCAGAAATAACTTGGTTTTCTTTACGAATACGTACAGCATTCATACGTCGATGTCTAATTAAAATTATATTAATGAATGTTTTTAACAAATTAAAAAAAAAAAAAACAAAAAAAAAAAGCATATTCATAACGCACCGACTACCGCTCATTACGTAACCAACATCTTCAAATGATTGAATTTCGTCACTTGTAAGACCTATTTCACCACGACGTGGAATACGTTTTCCCTCCTGGACATAAGCAGCCATAGCTGAACCTTCACCCGCTAGCAAGGCGCCACCATAACTAAAAATAGATAAAGGTTGATATTGAATATTGAATATGTTTGTCTAGAGATTTTATAACTTACTCTCGCTCTCCCAATTTTGTATCAGTTACTGATATAGGCATAGGACCCACATTCAACAAATCTTCAGGTAATTCAACTATACAAATTAAGTATTATGGATATAGTTATCAATCGGAATATATATTTTCCAATATAAAAGTTGAGAAATAATAAAAAAATAATTTTACCTTTTTTTTCAACCCAAAGATGATCTATTTGTTCTAGATCTTTTTCATCAACTTCTATAAATTCATCAGATTTTCTACGACCTCTACTTTTAACTTCGCTTGGAGAATCACTTTCACTGGCTGAAGAATCTGCACTTAAACTGACAGAACGATCCCGTCGTTTGCGAGTTTTGGAAGATTTCTTATGTTTTTTCGAAGATCGATGCTTTTTAGATTTTGATTTGCTTTTTTTCTTTTTTCCTTTTTTTTTTATTTAATATTTCGAGATTAATGATAGAAATTTATAAAATATACAATCAAAAATAAAAATGAATAATACATACTTTCATAATCTGATAGGTCTGATGAGAACTCAGAATCACTGATACTACGTGAACGTTTCTTCTTTTTAGAAGAATGCGAGTTCTCTGGAGATAAAGAACTAATTAAATTATCAAAACATTAGATAATTTTCCATTTTGATTATTGCAAATCTAAGTCTCAAATCCAATTTCTATTAGCACATATACTATACTCTAAATGCGTATTGATATCTTGTTCCAAAAGTATGACTTATGAAAGGTTTTGTACATATAACTTTAGTTGAAAACTTACCGTTCTAATTTGCTTGGATATTCAGGTGATTGTGGCCAAATGGAAAAGGTACTTTCTTTGCGAGTTCGTTTTCGTCTTAAAAAAAAAAAAATATTTGGATCCTTTTTCATTTATTGAAAATATGAAATAGATCTTGCAAATAATTACTGCTCAAGCAAAAACTCGTTGTTATGGATATTTCTTCCTTTTCCCCATTCCCCTTTACGGTCTACATTATCGTAATGCCGTCTCCTGGACTCAGGTTCTCTATGATTATATCGATCAGGTTCTCTATGATTATATCGATCAGTTTCTCTATGATTATATCGATCAGTTTCTCTGTGATAATATTCTTTCTCGTACGATGCCATTTATGATTAATATTCAATTAATGCGGAATTAACTATCGCTATATTCACGATCCTTAATTTGCAATTTTGTGAATCAGTATTCAAGACTAGTGTAACACAACACGGTAAGGAAATTCATAGCACGTGATTGCATTTTTTTTAAAAAGGGTGAACAGTAAAAATTTAGACTGTGCACAAATCTATAATCGTGTTTTCATGAGAACTCAGAGAACACTAATTTCAAACACTGGTCTTAATCATTTGGATTGTTGCCCAGCAAAACCATGCTTAGAGTATATAAAAAATATATACTCTAAGCATGGTTTTGCTGGGCAACAACCCATTTATTATTTTTATTTGATACATTACTAATATAATAACTCATATGAATTTTAGTTTGCATACGATGACGCATTAAAAGTTTTGATAAAACCTTTTATGTGCGAAGTAGTTAAACAGTGTTCATTGGCACCATTCAACAAAAAGTCAAAAAAGGTAATTTGAGAAATCTACCAAAATATATAATAATCTTAATAATTTTAATAATGTATTTGTGTTTCTCGTGATAAATCTTAGTAATATTCATATATATTTTTTTTTTGTAAAAACAGGAATTTTCTGAACCAAATATAAATAAGAGTAAAAATTTGAAATTTTCGGCCATAGTTACTTTTATTATTTGGTATTTAATCAAAGACATTTGACAATATTTATTCTGAAATAGTCATTTCATTCATTTATTTACGAACATTGAAGCAACAATTTCATGATCTCATAGTTGCTTGTTTTTTTTTTTTTTGTTTAACTTAATTTCAACTAGATATGTTACATTTTAATTGCTATATATTTTATTTTTGTTATTTCTCTTGTATAATATTTTAAAGCATTATCATAATTTTAAGCATTTATTCACTGTCATTTAAACTCGTTAGAAATACAACACTTAGTTAAAATTTAAAATAAGGATCGTGATGCACTTTGTGTTATGAATGTTTCATCTTAGATGCAAAATAGAATTACGTATGAACAGGCTTTAGCGCTAATAATTACTTAATTAAAGGTACCCGTATGTTTGCAAATGATGCGTAAGTCTGTTACTATTGGTGTCATGTGATTCGTTGGTCTTTGTTATAGCCTTTCGGATTTTATTCGAAAATTGATGAATAGACTCAAAGATGGTAAAGAATAGACAGGCATAACGGGATAAACCGAATAAGAGTTAACTGACGTTATATCAATAAGAATCAAACAACTTTAGTGTATAAAGCGCATGCCAATATTGCATATACTGTACATTCAATACGATTTTGTCAAAAGATTTGCGCATAAAATTTTTAACGTTAGTTATTCTAGAAGTCGCTCATAAATTTTTCTCTTGTATATCAAACAATTTTTATTGAATATATAGATGTTAATATTACCGAGATATTTTTAATCGATTAAAAGAATAAAATAAATTAATTCTTACCGTTTTATTGCAGAAGCATTTTGTTTATCTTGTACATCATGACTGTATTAGCGATTTGTGATTTGTATGGATAGTCACTTGAATCGAGGGTTTCTAACTAAATTATAGTATTATAACTTTTTTTTTTTTTGTTAAACCAGAGAAAACCTTCAAAAGGCGACTAGGAGTGTCTCCTAGACAGTGTGAGATTTTTACTCACTAAAAACTCTGGGATAAACAAATCATCATCGATATTCAAAAAGAATATCTCAGCGGGGTGTAAACGTTTCATGTTTTTTACAACCTGGCTTGTAAAAAACGAAACATTATGATCTGGCTCTGGGAGGATTAAAACCTCTCACTTATACCAACCAGGGCAAGGGGCCTGCCAGGAGGGGTGTGTCTGCAAATCTTACTTACCACACCGCCGCAGACAAGCTTACCATGGCGCCGATGGCAAACCCACCCTTGGCGCTGTAGTAAATAAGACCAGATAATATTTAACTACTTACCTCTTTGAAGAAAACCCTTCAGAAACGAAAAGGTTTAATAGGTGCAGCAACTGAACACAAGTGTGTAAAGAATGAAACACTTATCTTAAAGTTAACCGCATTAGACAAAGATTTCGGTAAGAAACGCGTTTAAAAAAACGTCTACTGTCAACTATGGATATAACGGAAATCTGGGCTAACAAAAAAATTCCGTTATATAGCATATTCGTTATATCTA